CTCGACAGCACAGCGCCCCATGCCTGTGAAGTTAGGCCCTGGTGGGAGGTCTGGGTTCCAGGGTTGGGAGAAAGAGAGGTGTTCAGTTCAGAGGGAATAGCCAGTGCAAAGCGCCCAGAACGAGAACACAATTGGTGAGAACTACTGCGGACTGGCTATGGGCACCACCAGGAAGGAGGAAGGCCCCTTGAAGGGACTGGCTTCGCGCAGAAGGGAGCGTTGCGCTCCGGCAAACCACTGGACTATTGACACTTCGAGCATTTTTCGATGTCCGATGGGGTTTTCACCATGTTGGCCAGGCTGGTCTCAAACTCCTGACCTTGTGATCCGCCTGCCTCGGCCTCCCGAGGCAGGGATTATAGGCGTGACCCGCTGTGCCTGGCCTCAAGAAAAATAATAACTTTTTTTTTTTCAGGAGGAGCTTCCTGGATTCAACTAACAGGGATTCTTGCTCACCATATTGGCCTTTTTGGGTCAGGCTTCATTTCTTCAATGCTCCAGCTGGTTACATGCAGCTGGCTGGCTGGCCTGCACACACCACCCTTAAACAGAATTTATGCTTGTTCTCACTTGTAAGTGGAGCTAAATAAAGTGTACACACGGACATAAAGAATGGAATAATAGATACTGGAGATTCGGAAAGGTGGCATGGTGGAAGGGGGTGAAGAATGAGAAATTACCTAATAGATACAATGTACACTATGCAAGCAATGGCTACAGTAAAAGCCCAGGCTTCACCACTGGGAAATACATCCAAGTAATAAGACTGCACTTGTAACTCCCAAATCTAAAAAATTAAAACAAAATTTTAATGTATGGGAGGCCATGGTTTTGAACTGAGCTCCTGTGCTCAGTCCCAACAGACCAAATCAAAATGAATCACTCCTGGCCAGCTGCCTCGTAATCATTCTGAACTTTGAAACTGACCAGTTTTCTAAAAAACAGGAGATTCATAGCAACCAATCAGAAGGGGTCCAGTTTACCTGAGCCAACATAAGAAAGTTGCATTTGTTTTAACCCTATAAGGAAAGTCACTTTGAAACTATGAAGTGGGCTGGGTGCAGTGACTCATACCTGTAATCCCAGCACTTTGGGAGGCCTAGACGGGTGGATCACGAGGTCAGGAGATGGAGACCAGCCTGATCAAGATGGTGAAACACCATCTAGAGCAGGCCTGTGAAGTTAGCCCTGGTGGGAGGTCTGGGTTCAGGGGTTGGGAGAAAGAGAGTGTTTCAGTTCAGAGGGAACAGCCAGTGCAAAGCCCCAGAACGAGAACACAATTGTGAGAACTTTGGGATGCTATGGGCACCACAGGAAGGAGAAGGCCCCTTGAAGACTGCTTCAGAAAGAGCTTCCTCCCAAACCACAGACTTGACACGAGCATTTTCCATCCGTGCCCTGCCAGTCTCTCAGCTACTGGCCTGGCAGGAAGAGGCGAATATAGGAGGTGGCCTTCCAGGGCAGAGCAGCAGTGAAGTGACTGCCGAAGGAAACTGCAGAGGGCAGAAGCAGATCCACAAATACAAGTCACTTCTTCACTGTGGCTTCCACGTGAGTCAGAACCCTCGAATAGATACCCCTGGCCTCTTCTCCCAGGCCTTAGTTGTTTGTCTTGGAAATGGGGCAAGGATTGGATCCTGTCTGGACTAGCTTAAACCTCTAGCCCCTGCTTCCATTTTGCAGAAACAGGACCTCAAACGGTAAGAAGGGGCCGGGCGCGGTGGCTCAAGCCTGTAATCCCAGCACTTTGGGAGGCCGAGACGGGCGGATCACGAGGTCAGGAGATCGCCTCCATTGTGCCTCTTTTACAAAGAATTTATAAGAGGGGGCCGGGCGCGGTGGCTCAAGCCTGTAATCCCAGCACTTTGGGAGGCCGAGACGG